TGCATGCATGGGGGCGTGTATGTTGTGTGTGTGTGTGTGTGTGTGTGTGTGAGATAGAGAGAGGGGGTGTGTGTGTGTGTGGTGTGTGTGTGTGTGTGTGTGTATGAGTGTGTGTGTGTGTGTGTGTGTGTGTGTGTGTGTGTGTTTAACAATCCGTTTACAGTAAACTAGTGAACTGAGATCAATTGTAAGTAACCCATGAAAAGACTAGGTGAATAAGAGACATTATGGCATATTGGTTATGAAAGCATGAGAATTTTACTGAAAATGGGTAACAGGAAGATGTGCTGAGATCTGTAGTCCTCTATAATGCAGTGTTCTTCTGAGGGTGTTATGGCATAGATGAACCTTATGATGCTGTAAAAGGCAGCACTTATGATGAAATGTGGTCGATTCTGGCTGATTCATGTACTGCTGGTGTGTGGTTTGCTGAATCATATTGTTCTATTTAGGGGTCAGATCTCACTCCTACATACAGCACACCCATACAGACCTGCTTGAATGCATTCATCTAGAGCCACACTCTTCATGCAAATACATATAAATGATGACAATGACTGCGAATGTAATCGTTTTTAAAAGCAAATATAATTTTAAGATTTATGAACTTAACATTATAGTATTGCAAAACTATTGATATATTTAACATTTTAAATGTAGCAAGATCTATTTATTATTATTCTATAATTTTCTATTTAATCATTCATTTATTTTTCTTCGGTTCAGGGGTCGCCTCACTGCCAATTTTAAATGATTATTTATTTACATAAAATACAATGGTGATCCTGTTTAAGATGATGATAAGGAAGAAGATGGTGATATAAAACAAACAAACAAAAAAATTAAAAAGTCAAAGACTTATCTCTAATGTGATCCTCTATGAGATAAGCACAGGAGCAAGAAGCTAACTACAAAGAACAACAATCATGCATAGCATTATGACCACCCGCCAAAAGCAATGACTGCGTCAAAGGTGCAGTTTACAGTATATATATTTAATTATATATACATAGTTTCAGCTTGGCGCAAGAGTCATTTTGATGTTTTGCGCCACACTATTTAAATAGCAAATGTATTTGCGCTCATATATAGTCTAAAAAAAGAGGCGCTTTGAGGCGCATTGCTGGCACATTGCTATTTTGAGAAGCTATAAGTCTGTTCTATAGACCTGAACAAAGCCGGTCTATTGTCCAGCGCAGAGCGCGTTAGTTGTGCGCCTCGCTTACACACTGCTTAATACACACAAGATGCGCAAATATCCTTACATATGAAAAATAACTAAGATATTAAAGATATATATAAGATATAAATATAAATTAATAAAATATAACAAAACATATTATTTTCTAGCCTACATGAATATAAAAACCATATATTTTAATGCCTTCTTCATTTTCTTGTCAGCTTAGTCCCCTTTTATTAATCCAAGGTCGCCACAGCGGAATGAGCCGCCAACTTATCCTGCAAGTTTTTACGCAGCGGATGCCCTTTTAGCCACAACCCATCTCTGGGAAACATCCACACACACACACTACGGACAATTTAGCCTACCCAATTCACCTGTACCACATGTCTTTGGACTGTGGGGGAAACCGAAGCAACCGGAGGAAACCCACGCAAAGGCAGGGAGAACATGCAAACTCCTCACAGAAATGCCAACTGAGCCGAGGTTCGAACCAGTGACCCAGCAACCTTCTTGCTGTGAGGCAACAGCACTACCTACTGCGCCACTGCCTCGCTCCCATGGCAATTTGCTTTTGTATAATGCTATCATTATTAGTGGTATTATTTATTACATCCATATTTATATTTGTTTTATTAGAAACCAGCTTAGATTTGCCCACCTGTCAGGTCTTAGACCATATGGGGCACAGCATGTGTATTTGGATATAACTCACTTTTTTGAGCACACTTATTCCACACTTGTTATTATTGTTTATTTATTCGTTTGCTGGAAATTAGAACTTAATTTAGAAATAGTTTTGAAACAAATCTTTGTGCTTAACAAACTAAATTAATTATTTGTAGGCTAATTGATTTCTAAATCACTACGCTAAAGTACGCTAGTACGCTAAATTCTGTACGCTAGTACGCTAAATTCTGTGCGTGCAAGGTTTCCCTATCCACAAGAGCGAAAGTGAAAGTAGATAATGATGTGGCCTTATCTCTCATTCTCGCGCTGCAGATGCTCTGTTTCCCTCTAGTGAAGCGTTCAGTTTTTCCACTTACAAAGTTGCCATATAAATAGCAAATGCACCATGGCGCGACGCAAGTGACTCTTAAAAGGAATGGGAGATGAGACTCTGATTTGTTAATTGCTATTTGCTTACGCACTGCAGAATATGGTCAATAAAAACAATAAAATAGATAGCTGGAATGAGTCAAATGGTTTAATGCACAGGTAGTTCTAGTCATCAGCATTTTGTGCTGCTCTCACTGACACGCACAAATCACTTTAACAGATCGAAGATTTTGCTGTGCACACATTTATAGCTGTCAACACTGTGACTTTTAATAATGTAATAGCTTCAGATACTAAGAGAGATACACAAACAAAGCCAGGTAATACATACCGGCAACTTGTATCAATCTCTCTCTCTCTCAATATCTAAATAAATAAATTGTATATTAAATTGCTATTGAAGGGGGACTTTTTAAAACCTGATACAGACAATGAATCTGATTTTAGCTTTTTCCCAATCACTAACAATTCTTCACCATGATGCATTTATGTAATGAAATCTGGGCTTTAAAGTTGTTTTTTCCATAAGGCATATGAGCTACTTTAGAGGACCTTTATCAACGCCTGTCAAATCTGACTTAAGTGCCCCTGTGGGGAATTAAACATGAAGCTTTCACTCACATCAATATAGACTGTTTATCAATGAGCTGTCAGGGACCAGGACAGATGCAGCATTCAGTTTAAAGATACAACACTGCCTCTATTTTATTAAGTAAACACAAGCTGGGCTTTGTTTATCTTTATGTAATAAAGCGTTAAGCAAGAGTTAATTATGAATTGATTCCTGAAATTCTCATTTGTGTTTAATAGTTTATCATACAACAATGAATCATTTCAATGGGGCATTTAGGACTCTATTTAAAAGATCTAGGTACAAAGTCTAAAGCACATAGTGCAAACGCTTTAAGGGCGAGTTTGAATCTACTTTTGCTATTTTTGCTATTTTCATCTTCCATTCCCTTTAAGAGTCATGAAGCATTTGCTATTTCCATGGCAGACTTTGTGGAAAAACTGAATGCTTTACTAGCGAGTGTAAAAGTTGAAATATTGCAAATATTCTGATATTTTTGACAATTCAAAACATGAGCTGAAAACAGAGACTGGTGACTTCACAACCCAGCAAGGGGGAATGCGGGAAAAACCAGTTCCTGCTGCATTTGCATCTGAGTATGCTGAAACTCAGCTTCATCCACCCCATCTCACATATGGTCATTTCAATGTTTGAATGTTCTAGATTAACCAAACTGACTTTAACTATCATGTTTGATATCATTTGAAATGTCTCAGTGCGATAATAATAATAATAATAATAATTCGTTACATTTATATAGCGCTTTTCTGGGCACTCAAAGCGCTTTACACAATGGGGGGGGAATCTCCTCATCCACCACCAGTGTGCAGCATCCACCTGGATGACGCGACGGCAGCCATTTTGCGCCAGACCGCACACCACACACCAGCTGATTGGTGGAGAGGAGACAGAGTGATGATATGCCAATCATGATATGGGGAGGGTTAGGAGGCCATGATGGACAGAGGCCAGTGGGCAGATTTGGCCAGGATGCCGGGGTTAAACCCCTACTCTTTTTCGAAGGACATCCTGGGATTTTTAACGACCACAGAGAGTCGGGACCTCGGTTTAACGTCTCATCCGAAAGACGGCGCTCACTGAGCAGTATAGAGTCCCCGTCACTATACTGGGGCATTAGGACCCACACAGACCGCAGGTTGGGCGCCCCCTGCTGGCCTCACTAACACCACTTCCGGCAGCAACCTAGCTTTCCCAAGTGGTCTCCCATCCAGGTACTGACCGGGCGCAGCCCTGCTTAGCTTCAGTGGGCGACCGTGTGAGAGTTGCAGAGAGCTAGCTGCCGGCATTGGTACAATGGTCTCATTCTCTCAGAAATAGACATAATCAAAACAATAAATATATAACTTCAGGCATCTTTCTAACCACTGTGAAGGGTGTGACTTTCCACTAAGTGTGAATGCCTTTTGTTATTCACACCCCCTTCCTTGAGGGAATTCTTGGATTATTTAAGGTAAGGCTTGAGAAAGACTCGGCGCGATTCTGCCTAACCAGATCAGCCCATAACATGGGGTCTGCCCTATGTTATGTATATTTCAAAGTCAGGAATGCATCTTTTTAATCTTGGATTTATCTTTGATAATTTGATGTTTTGTATTGATCGTTTATGAATTGACTGATTGAATTGGCATAATACATTTACCTGACTAATAAATTATGCTTTGAATCAAACCTCGTTTTATTATCACTGATAAATGTTGTTGTCCATAGCACTACAAGCCACTGTACAGGTTAGTAACGGACTAAAACATGTTAGACGGAGCAGCGTGGCACGC